TGCATAAATAGGATCACTGTTTCAAAGAAAACTAATTTAGATTTTAACGTACATACATATGGCTGATTACTTCAATAGTGACATGACCAGTGATCGGACTTCTACCACATTGTGGTAGATCTACCACACAAGGTCTGAAACCTACCACATATTCGCATTTTTCAGTAGTAATAATTAAGTTCCACATGATTTTCCTTATTATTTTTTAATTTTAAGAGCAAAAATTGTCCAACACTAAATACTATGTGATAACAAGTAGGAACACGATATTGAACCGAAAGTATCGATATAATATTCATTTAAAGTATCGCTACCCATTATCGGGTACCCATTAATATAGGCTGCATTTCTTTATTCATTCTGAACGTTTGGAATACACTTTTTTGTTTACTTATTCTTTAGAACGTTCCTAATGATATGTCAACGTATATTTCAAACGCATTCTGTTTATTCCGGCTATGAAATGGGATTATCCGGAATGTATAAAGAAACGCAGCCATAGTAATAAAAAGGCTCGATATTCCAAATATCGATACAAAATTAAAAAAATTAAATCTGAATATTGGTCTAATTTTCTAATAAAGAATTAACACTTTGCACTTTAATAAGTACATCAATAAAGGCGCTCCACATTGCAACCTAAGATAGTACACATTTCTGCGTTTTCAAGCTCAAAATATATCCATATTGCTTTACATATAAATTCCAAAGTAAGTTAGATGGTTATAGTACGACATAGATTTGCAAGAAATGGAACCATAGCTAAGGCTAAAACTCATGTTTTATTTGCGTTAAACATTTGTTTAATCACAAAATTAACAACAAAACTTTCAATAGAAATTTTAGTAAGGTAGCGTCATGTCAGATACTTCGGCTGATAAAAAAAACAGACAGATTTTTACATTTTGGAATTTGAAAAATTAGCCTTAAATATTTCAAATATTACTACAAAAAGTTTTATACAAATAGTTTTGTCCAATTCCCAGAGTTTTAAAATTTTGACGTTTTAATTTTATTTTCTAATATTTTATCATACAAATGTCATGCCACGCCAGATTGGAAATGCCCAATACAATATATCATTATTCCCATTAACTTTGTAATGTACATTTACGATTCGATACTATACAAGAGCTCTGGTACTCGATTCTAAAGTTTTTAAAGCGTTGTTTACTTTTACTCGAGAATTGTCAAAATCGGCAAAATCCAATTTAAAAATTTTGCAGTTCTTTTTAATTTTTGTAAAAAGTTTGATCCAAAACCTGAGATCTACCACATTTTTTCCAAATCTACTACATTTTTTTCCAGAATCTACCACAGAGAATTTTCGTTAAGTCCGATCACTGGACATAACTCAAAACAGCAGAACTCCCATAGTAAAAAAGAACTGTATATTTTGTTCTAGTGAGATCCTGGTAACCGATACAGCTATGAGGTATGTATGTATTTTTTGGATTATGATACAATTGAGGTAAATAGCGATCTGCAGATATTGACATTGTACTCACCTGCCGTAAAAATTCCGGCATCGTGTCTGATGAGCCGGCAACAACGATACGACTATCACCGGATTTCCTTACACGCATCAACCCAGTTTTATAATTTCCATTTAGTTCCATATCGTAACGTAAAACCGTTATGGTTGGACCATTAGTGCCATAGAAAGCCAAGATACCATTAAGTATATCTAAATATTCAACTTGGGGTACACATGGAGAAAATAGGTATATTAATGTAAATACATAACTTTTACACATTCAATATGAAAAGTATTTGGTTACCAGATTCATATAAAAATATAAAACGTGACCATTCATAGGCAGATAGTAAAAAATATAATGCTTTTGATAAGTCTAAAGGATGTGGATATAAGTTAAAAGCCTCTGAATTCTCGTTCATATCTGAAAAGAAATAGGGCACATCTTTGGTATCGCAAATCGTGGACAAATGTTTGGCGGTGTGCCGTGAGGAGGGACCAAAAATTCCCCCCACACCATCCTGAAAAAATGTAAATACATTAAATACTAATAAAAATCTTAATACTATGTATACACACAGTGCCTTTGTTTACCTTAAGAAGTTTACATAATACACCGTAAGCTTGAAAAGAATCGCCATAGTTCATCTCCTCTTTCACAGCTTTTAGAGGAGTCTCTAACTCTGCATTGGCAACCTCAATTGCATGTTCAAAAATTAGACCCATTTGCTCGGTATATTGGTCAGTTATTAAGCCTATGTAAAATTAAAAATGTAAGAGCATACTTTTCTATTGCATGAACATATCTGCGACATTTGACAAAACAACCTCTTTAAAAATGACAAATTTTTTAGGACGGCGAAAGCGATGAAAAGCTTTCTAGTTACAACAAAAGTTTGTTAAAACTGGACACATATCAGTAAATAAGCGTTTTTCAATAAATCTTTTTCATATTAATATCGCGCCTAACAATACTTTTTTAAATAAATATAAAAAATCATCCTAGCCCACACACGTTGTTTAGTCAAATGTCATTTGACGACTGTATGATAAACAAATTAGTACAGTCGAATGGTAGTTTAAGATTGCAATACAATGCACGAATTTACTATTTGTCGCACGCAAGAGAACAACATATAATTCTGTTTGTAATGAAATTCCAAATTTTTTTCATATAAACAATTTTTTCGTTTAACAAATAGATAAAATACTATTAAGCAGCAAAGTGGAAAATTTCTTTTTTGATGTATGTTTTTTCGCAAATTACTCAGTTCCTTCGCATTTCTACACTTAGTAGTCCCAATACTTTTTTGAATAAATATCGATGATCCAATAAGGCAGCCTCTGGCAAAAGGTCTCAATGTACGGCTCGATTGTACTTTTAGAAATTTGGAAAAAATCTCACTGACCAAATTTTGATTTTTAGTCACAGACAGTGGCTCATTAATTTATTTTTTAATGCTTAAAACTATTGTTTTAGATTTTGGTGAATATCTCGGAACTTTCACGCGCACTTTTAAGAAAAGACAAAAATTGACTTCTGCAAAATGTATATAATTTAATTTAATTTTGTTGTAAATTGATTTGCCACATAATGCGTGAAAAATAATTTGTTTATTTCAGAAATTCAAATCCACATTTCAATACACGTGGTAACGGTAACGTTTTTATATGCATTCTTGCAGCGAGTGATGATGAGTCACACGTAACTTCGAAAAATTAAGTGGCCAGGCGACCGTTTGTTATCCAGAGCAGCGTTCTCTCATCTTTTCGTCCAGTTTCGTTTATGATGCGTCCTGCAGCACATGTACGAAAATGGAAGTTTGCTTTTTTTGTGATAACAAGTTGAATTTAGGCAAAGTTGTGGAGGTGAAATCGAAGGGTGTCAAGTCGTTGCTTGCAAACAGTATCACCCGTGGATGTAAGAAGCATGAAGAAATTCTCAAAAATGTTAGTAAAATCAAAATGCATGAATCCTCCCGAAAAATTTGTGGCAACAGCGAAATGGCGGAGGCAGCTCGTCGTAGAAGCGACACACAGCCTTGGGTATCACATATATGTAGAAGTAGAAAAATTCGATTTCACAACCAATGAAAAGATTTCGAAAGTAAAGAGGCCATCTGTTAAAGATACCTTTCGTTCTATACTTCAAGAACGTCATAGTAACAATGTACAGTGGGACTCTTTAAAACAACGGCTTGATAATGATTAGTCTCAGTTGGAGCTGAATATAATCTGGAATGCAAGAAAAATTTGTATTTCAAACGTACTGCAGTTGAAGATAATCACAGTAACAGAAAATAGCGTCGAAAAAATAATGAGCGGTCACGCATATGCAAGAGCAATTCGTGGACATTTTCCATGGGCGTAGCCAGTACGAAATTTAGGGGTCCCCTATACATTTCTTTTTTCAAAACCAATAATTATTACTAAAAAATTGTTATTATAGCTTAAAATTATTGTAACCAGTAGAGGTATGTTGTACACAAACACATAAATAGAAGTTCCCAAAAGTTGATATAAAACTATTCGTCGATTTAAATAATTAACTTTTTACTGCGCATGTTGTTTTTTACGAGGAGGGATCAATGAAAGCCTAACCCCGTCAGTGTGAGACTTTAACCCAAACTAAACCTCCGTCATGTACCGTTCCCCATCCGGTACCGCCGTCAAGGATTTCGTCGGTATAATAACACTGTGTGACTGACAAAGTTATAGATCTATTGAAACACAAAAAATATGCATATGTACTTAGAATTTTGAATTCACAATCTGGATATAAGGTATAAAAACGCGTTTTTCGCAGTTTGAGCCTTATAATTGTTCGTAACGGTAACGGCAACCCTCAACGTGCAATTCCTAGATTAATGCAAATCTCTAAAACAAAACTTTGCATAGTCGCCGTAAAGCAAGGACCGCAATCGTTCTGGTGATTGATTTAAGGGTGGTAATTTAACTTTGATCTTTGGTGTCTTGCAGCTCTTTTTGCGCTATAGTAGATATTGCCCCTACCATTACCAATATATTTATATCTCGAATATGAGCCAAATTGGACAATGAGACAAATCGGTCACGCTTTCCATATCTTGCCCCGTCCATCGAATTTCATGGATGGCGGTGATGTCAGTCTTTATTTTCCCGAGGGCATCAACCAACCGAGCAAAGGCACCATCCCTATTAAAGGTCCGGATATTCCAGGGGCATACCCTCAAATCATAGTCCTTTATACGTTTGCCATAATCGTCATCAAAAGAAGAGTATATCATCCGAGGCATGAGGTTTTCATTGGGTAGGCAGGGACCCAAACCTAGCGCACGCAGGGTTATATACCTTGTCACATTAGCTCACTCCCAAGAGGGTGTTTGGTCGCTACAGGGGATACGTGAATATAATTATCCGGACGAATTGAGCTGCGATTTGAACCGTAAGCAAACAAATCACTTCCGGCCACTGCCAGGTGAATGGCAAAAGCGAACATCTCAACTGAAGCCTGATGTATTTTTTAAATTCATAGCTCTACATACCTGTATACCAAATAGCCGGACAAGACGTATTCTAAATAAAAAATAAAAATAAATAAATTTTCCGGATACTACAGTTATGCCCACTTTTCTTCTTAAAAATTTGTTTTATATAAAGACGACCGTAATAGTCCAAGAGCTGGGGTCAAAAATATGCAAAAGTCTTCTCAATACTTTCAGATTGGATTGCATTTTAGTGATGGAACGTTAGTGCAGAGTCAGCAGTTTCAGGGATAATAAAAACTACAAAGTTAATAAAAGATACCGTCAGACTCATTAGTGATAGGACCACGTGAGTCAGCAGTCGATAGAAGCAGTGATCGGACTTAAACAAATTTCTGTGGTAGAATCTGGAAAAAAATGTGGTAGATTTCAAAATAATGTGGTAGATCTCAGGTTTCGGATCAAACTTTGTACAAAAACTAAAAAAATTGTGCAAGGTTTCACATAAATTGCAAAGCTTTTCATTAGAATATAAAAAAAAGCGAATTTTAGTTTCATAAAGTGCAAGATTGAAGTTGCTAAAAAATGCGTTGAGTTTTGGCACTTTTTTCCTTGACAGTTTAAAGCAGTTCCTTCCATATCAAGATCTCTGCAACCTTGCGGAGTGCTGCCTGCTTTTCTTTTCATCACATCACGATGTAGATGTTCCAGAAACCGCTACTTGGGATTTGCTGATTTTAACAATTCTCAAGTAAAAGAAAACAACGCTTGAGATACTTTAGATGCACTGAAATTTGCTAATACTTTCACAAAAATCGCCGTTTTACAACATTTGCGCTATAAATTCTTTTTATAAATCATATATTTTGCAATTTAACACAATAAAACCACGTTTCCTGTCGAAAATTTGAATATTCGGAAAATTTACTATTTTACAGTTTATTTTATCCTCCCATTCTGCCTGTTGTTAGTGTTTAGTGTTGAACAATTTTTGCTCTTAAAGTTAGGTAAATTATGCCGAGCAAAAATAACACTACTCAAAAACGCGAATATGTCGTAGATTTCAGACGTTGTGTGGTAGATGTGGTAGCTGCTCAAAATAGTGACAGATCTACCACAATGTGGTAGAAGTCCGATCACAGGATAGAAGTGAGAATGGTAGCTGCTGGTAGCTAATTTTTATAATAGATTAGCAGAGTAAATTTTTGTCTTGAACAATTTTTTACAAAAATGCATAATAATCAAATCCAAAAAAAAACAAAAATCCAAGGCTGCAGAATGTTCCCATATGAAATTTAGAGGCAAGACTATGGAACCATGATCTACCTGTCCAATAGAAGCAAACTGTATCAAAAGTTCGCAATTTTACTGGGCCATCCCTTTGTAAAAATTTAACTAACAGCAGTTACCATTCTGACTTCTACCGACTGCTGACTCCCGTGGCCCTATCACAAATGAGACTGACTGTGTCGTTTATTAACTTTATAGATTTTAGTATTATTTTGGAGAATTTCAACCTTGAGAAAAGTCTTTGGGTTTTTTTTTTGACAGATATGAAGCAGAGCTGACGCCACGTGTGCCTATATTTCACTGTCTGGCTATTAGTTTCCTGCTTTTTATTACATTTACATTCCTTATAAAAATTTTCAGCTTTTGGAAAATAGTTTAAAAATGAAAGTGCTGACTCTGCACTAACGTTCCATCACGAAAATGCAACCTCTTCTGAAAATATTAGCCTTGACAAAACTCTTGCATATTGTCGACGCCAGCTCGACATAAGGAAACATGAAGACTCTCAAACACTTCAGTCTGAGCTTGATAAATTTAGCTCTTGTTGTACTCGGAACTATTGTTCAGTTGATTGAAAAAAATAAAAAATAAGAAATAAAATAAATACAAATTTGTATTACTTGATATGAAAATTCCTCTTAAAATTCGCTGGCCCGAAATTGGTGTGGGTCTTAAACCAAAAGAAAAAGGCAAAATTGCTCAGGATGATACGTAGAGCATTTTCCGCATATGCAATTTTCTGGGGAAAAAATCGACCCGCCCTAATGTACATTCATATGTAATACATAATATGAAGCGTACGATTTGCCCAAAGCAATAGAAGTAGAATGTACATATGTACATACATACATATGGACAAATCGTCGGTGATACTGTAAAACGTCCTATGTCAATAAATACCTCTAGTGCTTAAATTATCTGCCACCTGTACCTGAACGCTTCTAGTAGTCGTTCATCTTCATCAGCCAAAGAGGGACTGTTTTGTCATTAGTAACGATCAGAGTGTAACGATTTGCAGATGGATTCCGCTGCAGGTAAAACATACCATAAGTGCCAAACGTACTAATTGACATAGACCGTTTTGCAGTATCAGCGACAATGTATTACAGTCACCATATTTGGTCTAAAAATAAAGATATTTTCTGTTTGAAGGCAAAAACTCTCCGTCTGCTGAATTAGGGGACGGGAATAGGATCTAATCATAAGTCTTTACCAATTGGTATTGTTCCAGATGCACCATTTCTATTATCTTCGTAATCATTTCCACGACTTGAGTAGCGGCGAGATTGTGCGTCACAGTGTCCAATACGAGTATATTGGACCAAAAAAACCAAAACTATTAAATTGTCACTTCTTAACTGCATTTTTTTCTAATTATCTAAATGAAATACGATTTATAAACTTTGTGTTATCATTTCGATTTGTTAAGGATGGCAAATATGCGGTGACTGTTTTGTGTGTTCTTCCGTACAGATAGAGGCAGTAAAAACCAATGTGTTGAGTTCCAAAATGTTTTTGGAATATTTTTTTTTGCATGTGTATAAAAATAGAGCTTTCGGATTAAAATGTGCTTGCATTCAATTTTCGTGCTTTCATTTGTACATGTACAGGGTTGCCAGAAAATGTTTAAACTTGTCAAAAGTAGCCAAAATAATCGCCGAAAGTTAACAAAATTGTAAAAGCTTACATAAAATCCTAAATAAATTTTTAAGGTTATGCAAATAAGTCAGTTTTTGCAAACAAATAATAAAAAGTCACTTTTTTAAATTGGGACATATGTAGGTTCTAACTTATAGTTTTGTTTTCCATATAAAATTTTCCTTAAATTATTCGAACTTTACAAAAAAAAAACAAAATGCACTTGAAACTTACAAAATAAACCTCTTGCGCAAACATCGTGTCAATAACGTTTGAAAGTGCAACTTTGGTTTATTGCTGTCTAACGATGTTTTTTATTTTACAAAAACAAAGTGAAGTTTCTATTATTCTGGAGTATTCCCTACAGAATGGTGACAAAAAAAATGTAAAACCGACCTTACGAAATTGGACTTTCGCACAGCCAAATGAATCATTTGACCTAATGTGTAATCTCAGTTATACGAGGGGGCGTGGCACCTCCCATAAAACAGAATTTTTATACCGCATATCTATATATCTGCCACCTGTTTAAAAAAATCAAATTCGACTTGAATTAAAGAAATTATCTATTTGAAAATTATATTAAAGAATGGATGACAAGAGGCTTAAAAAAGTTTTAGTTTGAAAGTATTTTGGAGATGGTTACCACCTGTTTGAAAACCCAAATTTAAATTAATTATTCGAAAGATATTTGAAAAATTTTTTAACCTTCAGATTGAAAATTTAAAATATTACTGAGGTGTTTTACAAGCGTTGCCACCCGTTTATAAATTAAATTAGTTTAATTTAAATTAATTACTACAATATGGGTATCAATCGAAAGGTTTTTGATAAGGGTTTTAGTTATAAAACACATGTTTGAAAAATCAAATTCTTCTTAAATTAAAGGAATTTGATAATTGGAATATGATTCACAATATGGACGTCAGACAAGAGGGATTTAATAGGGTTTTAGTAAGAAAATAATTCGAAGAGGATTGCAACCTGTTTTAAAAGTCGAGTTTAAATTATAAATATTCAGCTTGAACATGTAGAGCTTTCTGAGGTTTTTGGAGAGGGTTGCCACCTGTTTTAAATATAAATTCAAAAAGAGTTTTATTATAAGTTTAATGAGTTATTACAATCTATCTTTTAATCGGAAGAGTCTGGAAAAGGCTTTATTTCTAAGCAACGTAAGTATATCAGGGACTCCGCATGTTTGAAAATTCAAATTCAACTTTAATTATAGGAAATAATGGTTTAAAAAGTAAAATTCAAAATTGTCAATCATTTCAATGAATTATTACAATACGGGTATCAATCGAAATGATTTTGAAATGGCTTCATTTCTAAACTGCATGTACATAAGTATGAAAAAGTATCACAAGAGAGAGGTTTAAGAGAGTTTTAGTTTGAAAATATTTTGAAGATATTTAAAAAATTTAAAGTCTCCTGATTTTCCGAAAATTGAATCGGTAAACGGGTAAAAATCCGCATTTGAGCCAGTTTTCTTTCCATTTTCGGATCCATTTCCACATTTTTTGCTGGCTGGCTGAAATATTAAAGACTATAAACATACACATACATACATATATAGATTGTTAAAGACGAACTAAATTACACTGCAAAAACTGTTACTACTGTTAAGTGGCTCTTGCCTCTAATCCTTGTCTTATTCATTTCCATCCTTTACTAAAGTAAGCAGTAAGAATTGCTAAGGTAAGTCCAAAAGATTAGACATGGATTCGACAAGGATTAGAGATATGAGCAACTTATCGGTTGTAACGGTTTTTTTTTTTGAATTTTGAATTGTGTCGTTATTGCACAGGACCATCGATTTATCTTGTCTTAAATGGCATATGCAAGGATTTTTCATCGTGTAAACATAAATAAAGTTACGAGCAGGTACATGTTTAAAAATATGAAAACCGCGTTTTCTGGGACCCTAAGCCCAGATTTTAAGGGTGTTTTCAAAATTCCGAGTATGCGTAAATCTTATTTTTATTTATTTCACTACAAATCTCACGATACCATAGATGCCAACGTATGGTTGACCCTGATTAGTCGTTAAGGTATTTATGAACAAATGGTTAAACCGTGTGAATGAATGTGGACAATACTTGTCACTTCACTGCTGTGCGCAAATGTGTGACAAATCAGCCAAATCGTCTGATCGCAATACGAATCATTTGTACCAGGGTTGTTGCGAATATTCGCATTCTTCATTAATATTAACATTCGCATTCGCTATCGCATTCACAGTAATCAATAGGACGATAGGAGTTACTGCCGGTTGAACTGGCACCCAGAGTTTGGAAGTAAGTAGTTAGAGGGCTGCCCAATGCCTTATGTGCAGTTTAGCTGTCACTGCAAACACATCAGCCTGGAAGACCGAAGCATACTTCCCCAGAGAAAAGTCCAATAGAGAGTCAGTTTTGGAGCCATCATTGAAGATTCGATTATGTGTGTTTCCGGGCTCAGTGCTGGTATTAAACCAGCATTCAGCCGCAGGGAACTAAACATTATAGAATCTCTTCAACAAAGGTAAAGGTTGCGTACTATCCTGTGGCATTGAAAAGACACAAGTGCTCAGATATCTGCCGCTTGCCCCACTCAGTGTTATACCAGCATCCGTTTCTTTTTAGTCTGCAGGTGGCCTTTAAAGCTTACCCTCGTATGAAGGCACAAGGTGACGGTAAGTGCAGCAGTGCATCAAGAGCAGCGCCACGTATTGTAGAGAAATCTTCAGGACAGCACACGACAGTAGTTCTTTGAAGTTTAGCAAGCAGACTTCCAACGCTCTTGATTGCTCCACTATACCACTGACGCATAGATAATTATGGGTCTGATCAGAGAGGTATAAATCCAGAGGATTCCCTATGGTGACACACCCCACGTTTTGTCAAAGACCTGCTTACATTGCCAAAATGCTGCCAATTCTTTGGAGGTTTTGTGTTCCACGTTAGATTTACACGACAGCTTTGTATCCTGAATTACTTCTGAATACTTCACTTCGGGAGAATTCTGAATTGTGACTCGTTTAATTGTGAGGCAATGAGTCCATACAACCTTCTCCGAAGCCTGTTTCGGACTGTGCTTTAATTACGAAATATCTATCAATACATCTTCTTCAGACTATTAAAGAAAAGAGTTTTGTTTTGTAAACTTATTTATTTTATTTAAAATAAAATGAAAAAAAACTTTTTAATAAATAAATGTTTCAAAACTGGATTTTATTTTATTACTTCATTTCTGCATATCGATATAATTCGAAAGATCTTTAAAACGCTTGACAAAAACGTTCAAATTTGATTATCGAACACATGAACTTGCTATTTTTTGTATGTAAATTTTACTCTTTTATTAAATCCCAAATATTTAAAAGAAAATTTGCCCTCTCAAAAAATTTCGATGTGGCAAAGCTATGCTTAACGTTTGCATCTGGAGAAATGTCAAAAATCTGAAACCCGCTTAAGTACCCCCCCGCTTAAGTACCTCACCCGCTTAGGTTCCCAATATTTTTGGGCACCGTGAATTTTTGAAAGTATTCTGAAGAAAATCCCTCTTTTAAGTACCTTCCCGCTTATGTACCCAAGCCGCCTAAGTACCTACATTTTTCGTACCCCATTTACCATTTTACTTATAATTTCCCCTTTTAAGTGTTTTTTTTTTTAATTTCTTCAAATATTTTCATATTTTGAAATTCAGTGTCAGCGCTACATACCTTCGGCAGAAAATTCTAAAAAATTAATGGTAATTCTTAACCACTTGAAACTTGCGCATTATTACACTAGAATTGAATGGGCTATAAAACTGCATCCTCATAAAAATATTTAACACTTCTGAAAAACAAGTTTGAAATTTTGATGAAATTTTTTTTTGGTCTCCTGCAAAATTTTAAGTTTCAATGATATTTGTTAGGGAATGAATTTTGTTTAATTGAAAAATTTTAAAAATTAAAAAATTAACATAAGTGGCAAACAATATCGTTTTGAATTTGGTTGAAAATGATATGCCCTGTTGGTGTATATGTATAAATATGTATAATCAATGGCTTTTCGATTTAGTTCTTGTGAAAATGACATAACATAGCTTTATCTGTTTTTTTTTTTTTAACAAAGGTTTCCTTTATATGTTTACTTGTTTAAATAATGCTACGATCTTGGTTTTAAATTACAGTATACTTCATTAAATGTTCATGTTTTATTCAAGGACTTATTTATGTAAGTTAACAAGAAGATGTAACTACATCACAAATTATGTCCGCTTAAGTACCCGCATCGAGGTACTCAAGTCGGTTCTTTTAAGTGCCCAACCCGCCTAAGTACCGCAAAAAGCTGAAATTTTTCGTGTGGTACTTAAGCGGGTTTTACTGTACCTTCTTTTTACCTTCCTTTTATTAGCTCAGGTTGTAACTATGTAATATTGATGCGTCTAAAAGATGCAGCGATTTCTATTCTCAAGTTACATACCTGATGACAGTACGAATGGCAATTATAATAGGGAGGTTTTAGTTTTTTAAACTATAATTTTATTTGTATCATGCCTCACTTGAAATATCGAAATTCTCTACATAAACAAAAGCACACAGACACAAAAACATATTAGCAAATGTCAACGAAATCCAGAGAAATGCGGTGGAAATCTCAGATTTCAATGCAGTGGGAATGAAATAAAAAAAATAAAAAATAAAAAAAGTAAATGCACGAAGCAAGTACATTCAACCACTTACATTATTTGCTTTCTTTTGTTTTATTTTTTCGCATTTTCTTCATTTTATCTTAGTTAAATTGTTTAGATTATAATATTATTGAAAAAGAAAGCATGATAATAATTGAAGAAACTATAGAAAAACTCAATAAAAACTTTTTTGGCCGTGGCCAGCGAA